ACAGTAAAAATAGTATCCATATTAACAAACAGCATTGTTTAAAAATAAACGTACACTTAATCTTTTTATTAACAATCATTTTACGTGAAAAGTATTTTATTTAGACTGCATGCAATATGTAATAATTTTTACTTGCTACTGATTTACTGTAATAAGTGCTTTATTTTAAGTTTCACAAGTAGTTGCAGAATGTCCAAGGTTCCAATGATCATATCTTATAATGATCATTATGAATTCAGATTTACTAATAATCAGAGAAGTTCATCTGACAAATATAAATTATATTAAACATTTCATATATTAATATTTATAATATAATACATGTAATTTTCAGTAGTGCAGGTAATCAATGTATTTGATTAAAGTAATTTATTAACAAAAATTACTATAATTTTTAAATTAGTAAGGTCGTCCATATACAGTATATAATTAAAATTATTTAATGACAAAAGTTATACACTTATAATTACCTTTAATCACAATTAAATTACGGTTACCTTTGCAGTTAAATGAATGACTACCCTTAAGTTATTTATAAATTAATTCCTTACATGTATATGTTGCAAAACTTAAAATTTAATAGATTTTAAATTGTTTGAAAGTTTAATATACTTTTCAAGGCTTAGAGTCTAAATGTGGTTTCCAGAGACTACTTAGTAATACCTACAGCATTACTAATTGCACATGTTACTCACATTTTGGACGCCTATGGCTTAGACCATCAAAATGTTGTGAATGATCTAATCTATAATATATTGAATACTTGTTTTGGATTTAAATTATTATACTGTAAGTGATCTGATAAGGTGAAGTATTTGCCATGCAATCGGTATTTTCTTTAATTATTAATCTAATATTTCAATCATTATTTATTTTATTTGACTCGCAACCCAAGGTATAACCAATAATACCGGCGCTGATATACTGTTGCAAACCATAGGCTGGGCTATTGGCGACTACCTACTCACATGTCCCACGAAATTGTTTGCCATGTCTGTCCATAAGGCCAGTGAGAATACCCGAGTGTTTGAGTACTACTTCAACACCAAGTTTACAGCCGGCGCTCAACTATTCTGTTCCGATTTGATGGGTGTCTGTCATTACGACGACGTCTACCTGGCGTTTGGGCTACCGTTCCAAGAGTACGACCGGTATGGCAGAAGGGAACGGGAGGTGTCGGCAGAAATGATTAAGGCTTTCACATCGTTTGCATGGGAGGGAAAGCCTACCGTACAGTCCGGTACGAATTGGCGGCAATATTATGGACTCAATGATAGAGTGATTGCTCCGTATTATGAGTTCTCTATTGAACCCAAAGTTAACTTTATTTTCGGTCTCAATGTTAAATCAATTGAATGCGAATACCTTTGGTATCAATATTTGTAAACTTATTAAGAAATCAAAAGTATTTTGCATGAAGGTTTTGAAAATATTCATTTAATTTGTATATACTTTTTCAAATTAATCGATGAATATGTTTTCATCAAAAATTATTTTACAAGAGATTAGTGATAAAAATGACTAACAATTTTGAATCTTAGGTAAATATACTGCGGCTTTGCTCCTAAATTATGTTTTACAACATTCCCTTTTTACCAACTATTTAAAAAGACTTTTACCGATTCTTAATCATAACTTACAATGATCATTATAAATTCAGGTTTAATAATGACCTGAGAAGTTCAAAAGACAAATAAAAATATAATATTAAATATTTTATACATGTTATAAATACATAATGGATGTATTTGAATAGGTAATTTATGCTAAAAATAACTATAATTTTTAAGCTAGTATAGGACTTAATATACAGGTATATGGGTTAAGTTATACAATAACAAAAGTCATTCATACCTTTGTATTTAAATAAATGACTAGCCTTAAGGTATTTAAGTATAATATTAATTCCTTATATGTCGTAAAACTTAGATTATAATAAATGGTAATTGTTTTTGAAAGTTTAATATACTTGTCAAGGCTATCAAAAGACTATCAAAAAATTAGCTTTATGATCTAATCTATAATATATTTAATACTGTTCTTAACGAGTGTTTATATATAAAATATTATACCTTATGTTACAGTATTAAATATTGTACTATTAAATTAATATTATTAATACACAAACATTAAAACATTTCCATTTCATTGATCAAATTATTAACAGATAATTATTTCAATGAATTTTATAAAACAAAATTTATTTTAACTAGGCGATTTATTTTAAATTATAAATATTTTATTTTATATAATTTTACTTATAATGAGAATATAACGATTGAGCTCTAAAACTGTTTGTACCCTGTTGACCCAGGGCATTTTAGTTGTGCCCTTAATCACAAGTAGGGGCACAACATATCCATAATCACGGTGTGGTCGCCGGGTCAGTATTTGACATATACTGTAGCACTACCGGTGCTCATCCATAAACTAAACACAAGTTTAATAATATAAATAACAGTTTAATAATTAATAAAGTTTTTAAAATACATAAATGAAAAGAATATTTCGTTGGAAAACTTTAGCCAACTTTCCAGCCAATTATATAACCTCTTATAAATTGCACCAAATTTTGATGAAAACTAATGTTTTTATTTAGTATACAATAGTTTTGTACATTTTGTTAGTGAGTTTTAAAGGTTTATTTTTGTTTTTATGCATGGTTTACAATTATCAAAAAGATTTGCACAATAAGTTTAATAAATTATGAGCTTAATTAGATATAAATGTGTTACGGATGAAGTTAACATACATGATAAAATAAATATTTTATAAATGTTAATCAATTTAATTATTAGGATATATGACACGTGACATGAGTCGACTCCTTCCCCTTTTACGGTTAGTCCTCCAGATCTGATTGGGTCTGACGTCGTGATGCGGTCGAGGTTTGTCACCACCGGTGGGCCCACCACTTGGGTACTGCCTATCCGTCTCGTCTTTCGGCAGTTTATACGGCACTATAAGGCCGTAATCCCGGGGCGGACGACGTGTGGTCTGACACTCAGTCGGTGTTATGATTATGATTGTAATAATAAACACAAAAATGGTTAATAACAACACTTTTGTTAAATTCATTTCTTTTTCAAATTATTTATTATAATTGTTATAACATTCAGTAAAATAAATACAATGTTTTGCCAACAAAAAGATTTGATACAAAAACACGAATGTCTGTGTATTTTATTTATTATGAACTCGAGATTATCATAATTTAATACTTAGTTTTCTCAATAAGTAATCACTTTATAATAATATAGCAAAAAGTGAATACAAGTAATGATTATAAGGACAACAATTACCGGTTGACTGAACTGGTTGGAAATCCCAAATAACGTCTGAAAATGATTGTTAAAACTAAAGTTATTTACTGATTGATAGGCAATATAGTCATGTAGCAACTTAAGGATCAGGTAGTTTAGGGAAATTACCTTTTTTAACTTATTTTTTACTAAATTTTATTTTTGAAATAACATTGTGTCTATCAGACAGAAATATCCCATAAAGCAATTTTAAAACTATTGCTCATATATTATATTAATAAAGGGTCAATATTTTAATCATTGACAATTCATTATATTAATTTTAAAGGGGCAATAAATGAATTAATTTTCAGTGAATTATATATGAATTATTCTGTCTAGGGTTTACCTGCTTAGAGTTTTTTACTCATTTTGCTACCTGAAACTGAGGTTCCTACGTTACACACTTATAATTTATACGAATCATTTCTTAATTTTAATACAAGTATTGTATATCATATAAAGATCATTCAAAAACATATTTATAATGTCTATCGGTGTGAACAATTAATTCATTTTCATTCAGATCGTTATTATTCTTAGCATTGCTTTCATAATGATTTGCAATTATGGTATGATTTCGTTGTTTTCGGAAAGTCTCCAAAAGATTAATAACTGGAAAGTCAATGATTACGTACAACACATATGAGATAATTATAGTGGCAGTCATATCCAGAAAATATATTTGTATCTAAAATTAAAAATATAAAATAATTTACTTAATTTTTAGTTTTAGTTATAGTTATACAGGTACAATAATAAATGTATGCTAACCTGATTAGCATGACTGACAGCAATATTAGATCTGCGACTAAATATACGAAACTCACAGACAAGCGTACCATTTAAAAATATGCTAAAAAGTAGCCGGCTAATTGATGCGAGTAATTTAGATGACAAGAGTTTATTGATATATCCTAAAAATAATTTGTAAAATAATTAAAAGTCATACAAATATTATAAGTCATAATGAATGCTAACCATTAGAGTTGAGGTAAACCACAATAATAAGCCATATATTGCCGACACACCACAAAATCTTCCCGCAACTAAACCACAGCATAAGATTCAATTGATTTGGTTTTATAGTAAAATCCTTGAAGTTTTCACTCCATATAACACTTAGCAAGGTTATCGGACTCGTATATTAACAGTTTCATTAATCAGCGTTAAACAATCTGTGGTTTGTAAATTATTTCCAGTAAAAAACAGCGTTATGTATCGGTTGCTAATTCGGGTTATATTTATGTCTATTTATAACTAGAGTGAAGCCCATATATCTAACAAATGAACGATTTATCTGGGTGAAATCATTTAGGTTGGCCACTTCATATGGTATAATTTTGTAGTTAGTGTATAATTTGGGAGCAATGACCACGAATAGTGAAACAATGAAGATTATCCCGTTCATTATTAATCCATAAATACTCCAACGTCTCATAAGTATCAGAAATAGTGGGCAAATGATTTGTAGTTGAAATATAACACTTAATATATAGGAGGCAGCTACACACTAGAAATATTTTAAAAATAATTAAGTAAATAGATGCATTATAAAACTAACTAGTAAAATCTAATAATGTAAAACGAGATGTATATTTTAATTAATATTAAATTATTATAATTAATGTTTCTATTGAAATTTAAATATAATTATAACACATAAGAATGTTATAATGTTTTTATAAACTGTAATACACACAATTAATTAAAAATAGATTACTTGTTCAGGTTGATCATGCTAGGTATATTCATTAACTCACATTATTCCTTAATTCGGGTCCAAAGTTGCTGATAAACAATATATTTTGCCAGTAATTAGCTCGACACACATTTCTAATTAAGTAAGCATGAAAATTTGGTCCAGTTCCTATTACTTCAAATATTACGCTAAGAATAATAGGGCCCAACATTTTTGGCAAAAATCTTATATACTTTTCCAACATAAATATAATATACGATAAAAATGTTTGATTCCGAGCTTTTGGACCAAAATAGTCGTACGATATAGTAATGCCACTAAAAATTGAATAAACATTATTATATTCAACCTTGGTAACAATTGTAAACAATGTAGTAGTTACCATAATAAGCCAATCATATCTTGCGGGAATGTGGTTCTTAGCCAGAAATATTCAATATCCGTGATAACCCTGATCATAAAACTATTCAAAATATTTCTATAGCCCACCATACCGGTCCCGACCATGGCAGCGTAACTAAGCCCAAGTGACACCCATAACATATAAAATAGCATAAGACCCTCGGCAATTAATAATCGGTCATTTAAAGGGCTGAATAGTTTATTGTTTGCATTTCGAATAGAAAATGAGCTGGTTAATATATCAATAATATGATTGCACTTGGGTATTTTAATTTCGTTTGGAGTTGAATTTGTCAAGTTAGATTTTATGTGTGAATAAACATTCAAGATTATTATTAAAATGCAGCTTATTATGGGGATACTCCTAAAAATTGTTGTAAAAAATTAAAATAAATTATAAATTAAAAGTTAAAACTATTTACAATATTATGATATAAAAGGCATTCCACTCAATGGTATCCGTAATGACATCACATTTAGGGCCCACTTCTATGGGTATCGGTATTATCGGATTGAATACTGGATTAAAATATATAAGTTATGTTGATTAAGTGCTAATTATATAATTTAACATAGGTAAAAAATTATTACAGCGAAATAATGCTTATGCATAATATTTAAAATTTATAAAAATAAATTTTTAATAATTAAATACCTGTTTGTAAGACCTTTTCCATGTCCAGTGCCTGACATTGAGATGGTATGCAAATGCCGTAATGAAAAGCATATATTTTATTGGTCACAAAATTGAGAGCCACCACCAATTTTAGCTTATTTATGTCCCGGTTAATTGTGTTAATAATAAATTCATTTGTCTCATTGTTAAAAATATGTAAACCCTTGAAATTTGTCAAAACATCCGTATTATTCAATGGTATGACAGGCCGTATGAGACAGTATTTGCCATAAATGGTTTTACTTGTCATACTATGTTCGTTACGTATGCTTAAGCACTGGTCGTAATCACCAAAACTTGTGAAAACTCCGGTAATTAATCCGACAGGTATTTTGCCAATCGAGTCAATGACTATAAATTGAAAATAATGTTTATAAAATTATTTTAATATTAATATCTAAAATTAAGTGGGCCATACCAGTTATGAAAAGCAATAAATCTATTACATAATATAATATTTTGAGTAAAAATCTAAAATGTTTTTTATATTTCATACAAAAATATTTATACAAAAGATCTTGTTATTATGATATTTTAAATTCTTACTCAAAATATTAAAATATTTAATGGATTTGTTGCCTCACAAATGCATATATAAATAGAGAGTATATTCTTATTAATTTTTAAAAAATATACTCAACAACTAGTAATAATTTTATAAAGTTAAAAATTTATAATTATACATAAATTATTAAATGACCAGTAATATAAAATAATTTATTTACATTTATAAGCCCACAATTCCCCGCTTTTAAGCCCTTCCGTCCATTTATATAATGCTTGCAAACAATCATTGGATATATTGGTGGCGTAAATAAATTCATATAAGGTCTGTCTCAATTTTGCATTAATAGGTTCAAGATTCTTTAAAATATTACTTTGAATATTATTAGAAATTTCCAAATTATTATTAATATAATTAAAGGTTTTGCTAAAATTAAAATGCTTTTCAGCAAAACCTCTCAATGTATTCCTTATTAATGAAACATTTGATGATTGTTTTGATTTATGAAAATTGTTTTGATATTTATTAAACCAATTATCAGTACAATTTGCGCAATCAGTATCAAGGGTGTTTTTACCAAGCACATTATTATTTATTAGAAACAGTAAAAATAGTATCCATATTAACAAACAGCATTGTTTAAAAATAAACGTACACTTAATCTTTTTATTAACAATCATTTTACGTGAAAAGTATTTTATTTAGACTGCATGCAATATGTAATAATTGTTACTTGCTACTGATTTACTGTAATAAGTGCTTTATTTTAAGTTTCACAAGTAGTTGCAGAATGTCCAAGGTTCCAATGATCATATCTTATAATGATCATTATGAATTCAGATTTACTAATGATCTGAGAAGTTCATCTGACAAATATAAATTATATTAAACATTTCATACATTGTATATTAATAATATAATACATGTAATTTTCAGTAGTGCAGGTAATCAATGTATTTAATTAAAGTAATTTATTAACAAAAATTACTATAATTTTTAAATTTGTAAGGTCGTCCATATACAGTATATAATTAAAATTATTTAATGGCAAAAATTATACACTTATAATTACCTTTAATTACAATTAAATTACGGTTACCTTTGCAGTTAAATGAATGACTACCCTTAAGTTATTTATAAATGAATTCCTTACATGTATATGTTGCAAAACTTAAATTTTAATAGATTTTAAATTGTTTGAAAGTTTAATATACTTTTCAAGGCTTAGAGTCTAAATATGGTTTCCAGAGACCACTTAGTAATACCTACAGCATTACTAATTGCACATGTTACTCACATTTTGGACGCCTATGGCTTAGACCATCAAAATGTTGTGAGTGATCTAATCTATAATATATTGAATACTTGTTTTTGGATTTAAATTATTATACTGTAAGTGATCTGATAATGTGAAGTATTTGCCATGCAATCGGTATTTTCTTTAATTATTAATCTAATATTTCAATCATTATTTATTTTATTTGACTCGCAACCCAAGGTATAACCAATAATACCGGCGCTGATATACTGTTGCAAACCATAGGCCGGGCTATTGGCGACTACCTACTCACATGTCCCACGAAATTGTTTGCCATGTCTGTCCATAAGGCCAGTGAGAATACCCGAGTGTTTGAGTACTACTTCAACACCAAGTTTACAGTCGGCGCTCAACTATTCTGTTCCGATTGGATGGGTGTCTGTCATTACGACGACGTCTACCTGGCGTTTGGGCTACCGTTCCAGGAGTACGACCGGTATGGCCGAAGGGAACGGGAGGTGTCGGCAGAAATGATTAAGGCTTTCACATCGTTTGCATGGGAGGGAAAGCCTACCGTACAGTCCGGTACGAATTGGCGGCAATATTATGGACTTAATGATAGAGTGATTGCTCCGTATTATGAGTTCTCTATTGAACCCAAAGTTAACTTTATTTTCGGTCTCAATGTTAAATCAATTGAATGCGAATACCTTTGGTATCAATATTTGTAAACTTATTAAGTTTATTATTTTAAATAACTGTACAGGTACAGTTACTAGCATTATAATTATATGTTACACAATTATAATAAAAGTAATGAATACCGTACATTTTTAAAAAGTATGATTTATTTCAAAATTTGATAGTAAGAATATTAAAAACATTATGATACAATATTATATAAGTTATTATGTATTATAAAGTGTCATATTTATAAAATATAATATATACTGTAGTACTTTATATAATATTATTAGAATTATACCTTAACTTTAATACAAATACCGTATATCACATAAAGATCATTCAAAAACATATTTATACTGTTTATTGTTTTGAACAATTAATTCATTTTCATTCATATCGTTATTATTCTTAGCATCGCTTTCATAAAGGTTTGCATTTGTTGTATGATTTTGTTGTTTTCGGAAACTTTCTAAAAGATTAATAACCGGAAAGTCGATCACTATGTATAAGACATAAGAGATGACTATTGCCGCTGTCATATCCAAGTAGTAGATTTGTATCTAAATCAAGATTATTGAAATATTTTATAGTGAATACAAGTTTAATAAAATTATTTCACAAAAATGATTACCTAATAACATAAAATATATATTTATAAAATTATTATAACCAAGTAGTAGATTTGTATCTAAATCAAGATTATTGAAATATTTTATAGTGAATACAAGTTTAATAAAATTATTTCACAAAAGTGATTACCTAATAACATAAAATATATATTTATAAAATTATTATAAATATTTTCAATTATTGCATAAAAATATTATAAAATATTTAAACTCACCTGGTTCACGTGACTGATTGTGATATTATCTCTCCGACTAAATGTGCGAAAATTAGAAATTAGCGTAATATTTATAAATATGCCAAAAACGAGCCGGCTAATAGCTGCAAATAATCTCGATCGCAATATTTGATTAATAAGCCCTAAAAATAGTAATTTAATTAGTAGTAATATTAGAAGTATACAAATATTTCAATAACGCAAACCATTAGGGTTGAAGTAGACCACAATAATTAGCCATACATTGCCGACACACCATAAAATCTTGCCGCAACTAAACCACAACATAAGATGCAATAGATTTGGTCTTTTAGTGATATCTTTAAAGTTTTCGCTCCAAACTATACTCAAAAGAGTTATCAGCGAGCATATAATTGTTATAATAAATATCCGACATTTATTCGCTACCAAATAATTTATTGCTTTAGGCTTTTGACGTAATATATATCCAACCATTATGCCCAACATGAATACCGATAATAACTGATCAGGGTATGTCATATACCTGACGAATGAGCGATGTATAATGCGGAAGTCGTTAACTTGCTCAAGCTCAAACGGAATAATTTTGGTGTCTGAATATATTCTGGGTGCTATAACACCGAATAGCGAGACTAAGAATACTAACCCGTTTAATATTAAGCCATTTATATTGTAACGTTTGAATATTAGCATAAATAACGGGCTAATAATTTGGAGTTGAAATATTATGCTCAATAGTGAGCTAGCCGAAACACACTAGTTAATATTTAAAAATAAATTATTTCGAAATTAATAGATTCATATTAAGTTTTATATAACCAATGTAGTATTTGTTTGTATAAATTTGCAAAATGAGTGCCATTTCTAACCATTAAGATTTATTGTTAACTTTAATTAGTTGTGAATATATAAACAGTATATTTTAAAATGTTGTAGTTTAACATTAATTTAGACCCGAATAATTATTTAGGTTCAATATTAAATTCGATGCATATTTTTTGGGGAATATTAAAAATCAAACCGAAATATTTTAAACCAAACTGTACTGTAGTTGTACATTTCAAACAAACACTACGCTAGCTACATTTAAAATTTTATTTATGACTTACCGTGTGCCTCGATTCAGGTCCCAAATTGGTGATAAAGAGTAGAGTCTTCCAATACCTACCCCGACAATCATTTTTATTAGCATAATCATTAAAATAAGGCCCTGAACCAATTATTTCAAATACTACACTAAGAATAATGGGGCCCACCACTTTGGGCAAAAATCTTAAATACTTTTCAAATACAAATCTAACGTATGAAAGAAACGTGTGCTTTCGGACTTTGGGACCAAAGTAGTCGTAGGATATAATAATACCACTAAAATAATGAGATCATTATAATTGTATATAATAAGTATAAGTACAAGTTAAAAGGTTAATAATGATAGTTACAATAGTAAGCCAAATGAATCGCGCGGGTATGTGGTCCTCATCCAGAAATATTGGGGACTCGTTAACGCCCGGATCACAAAGCTATTAAAATAGTTTTTATAACCGACCATGCCCATTCCCACGATCGCCCCGTAATTAATTCCAAACGTAAGCCACGATATGTAAAATACTAAAAGGCCCTCGGCAATTAATGTTTTATCGTTTAGCGGGCTAAATAATTTGGTGTTGGCACTTTTTATGGAAAATGATTGGATAAATTCTTTAACAGAGTGTTTATCAGCATATCGGACCACATGTATCCTATTTTGTGTAGATGTTTCTGGATCAGTTTTGTTTAACGAGTAAATTGTGGCCGATATTATTACAGTGCACGTTATTGCGGGAATACATCTGAAAATTTTATTATACATATTATAATTGTTTAACTTTTTAATTATTTAATTTTGTTTTACAGTATTGCGATATAAAAGGCATTCCATTCGGTAGTATCCGTTATGACATTACATTTAGGGCCCACTTCTATGGGTATCGGTATTATCGGATTGAATACTATAAATGAGCAATGTATAAGGTTTAGAAAATAAAAACATTTTAATAAATAATACAATTAATTTAAATATTCATACTCCTAAGGTATAATAGTGTAATTTTAATAAAATAATAATTTTATATTATCAATGAAACTTTAATAGGACATACAATTAGTAAGAATATGTAAATACCTGTGTTTAACACCTTTTCGACATCCCGTGCCCCGCATTGAGATGGTATGCAAATGCCGTAATGAAAAGCATATATTTTGGAAGTTACTGTATTGCTAGACACGAGCATTTTGATTTTATTTATATCCTGCTTAATTTTGTCTTTAATCCTGGCATTTGTCTCGTTGTTTAATATATCCAAACCCTTGAAATTTAACAAATCGTTTGCATTATTCAGTGGTATGACAGGCCGTATGAGACAGTATTTGCCATAAACAGCATCACTGGGACTACTGTATCCGCTACGTATGCTTAAGCACTGGTCGTAATCACCAAAAATGCTAATAACACCATCCAGTAAGCCAGGTGGTATTTTGCCCATTGAATCAATGACTGTAAATAAAAATTTAAATAAAAGTAAAATAATAATTAGGAAACAATAATAGTTAAATGGGTCTACCCTTAAATATGAACATAGTAATGATTTTTTATGTACATATTTTGTGAATGACCCCGTTATATAAAATAGATTATTTACATTTATAAGCCCATAGTTCTCCACTCTTAAGCCCTTCCGTCCATTTATATAAGCCTTGCAAACATTCATTGGATATATTAGTTGTATAAATAAATTCAAACATGGTTTGCCTTAATTTTGCCTTAATAGGCTCAAGGTTCATGAAAATTTTATCCCGAATACCATTAGTGGTTTTAAAATTATTATTTATATAATCAAAGGTTTGGCTAATATTTAAACGCTTTTTAATAAAACTTTTCACTTTATTGGCGATTACGGAGACATTTGACGGAAGTTTTGATTTTGAGAAAATGTTATGATATTTATTAAGCCAATTATTAGTACAATTATCACAAACAGTATTAATTGCGGAATTTGGTTTGTTGTTAGCAAGCACATTGTTACTATTTAATGTAATTAGTATTAACAGTAAACAAATAACTATAACATATTGTTTTAAAATAGTTATATTTTTAATTGTGTTATAAGAAATCATTTTTATTTTAATATTATTATGTTTGAACAATAAATAACACAAATACTAATTTATTATTAAATTTATACGGAATTAGGATTTACATTAAATTTAATATAGTAGAATCAAGTTTGATTAGAAAGCATTGAATGTTCAAGGTTTTAATATGCATAAAATTAATGGTCAATTTTATTGAAGTCTGATAAGATTTTAAAATGAATTTTATATGAACATTAAAATTAAAATTAATTTTTAAGTATGCATATATAAATATATTATAATTTAAACGTGTTGTAATATTTATGGAGAAATATTAATATTTTTTATTTTATACAAATTGTAGATTTATAAAAATTTAAGATAATTATAATGTACAATAAAAAGTGTTTAAGCATACGCAATTAATTAATGCAATAACTTTGGGCACGATTTATGATAACAATTTAAAAACATTTTTAATAATGTCAGTGATTAGAAATAAAGTGCTTTTATAAACACGTTTTACAAATTATTTTTCAATTTCAATAATTAATTCAAATTATTTTTTGTAATTAATTTTATGTATAATAAGTGTTTATTGATAATTGTATTTGATAAAATTGTTAGACTTACAAAATGTTCAAAAAATGTGTTAAAAATAGACAACATTTTATTACACTTTAATTTTAAATAAACTGTAGATATTTTTATTTATTAATATATTTATGATGCCTAATGTTGTTATCATGTATAATTTATAATTCATTTGCATTCAGATCTGTAGTAATCATAGCATTGCATTCATTAGTGTTTTCACTTTTCTTATGATTTTATTGTTTCCGAAAACTATCCAAAAGATTAATAACCGGAAAGTCAATGATTATGTACAACACATACTGTATGATATGATTATAGCTGCAGTTATATCCAGCTAATAGAGTTGTAACTAAATTAAAATAATTAAATATATATTTATCATGAATGTAATATTCAATAGATTTTTTAATAATTAATTTGTTTAACAATTAAAATGTAAGCTATATATATTAATATTATACCTTAAATTAAAACAATTATAAACCCACCTGGTTAACGTGACTTCTATTTATATTGTCTCTGCGAATAAATGCACGAAAATTAGAGATTTTCGTAACATTATAAAAGATTCCAAAAATGAGCCTGCTTATTACTGCAAATACTTTCGATGATAGTAGTTTATTAATAAATACTGTAAATTAATTAAAGATATTTTATGAATTTAATTATACTGTATTAATAATCACTATTATAAATGCAAACCATTAGAGTTGAGGTAAACCACAATAATAAGCCATATATTTAATTCGGTATAAATTAAAAGATATAGATCAATTTGAAATCGTGTTTAATGAATTATTAATGGTTTTCATACAGTAGTGTACTAATAAATAAAATAATTTATACTATAGTATAAATTACACATAGCTACATATTTATATATAGTATTTATATATAGCTACATATAAATAATTTTAGCTAGTTTTATGTTGAAAACAATTTTAACATTAAAATTAATGACCAATAATAAAATTATTGATAAATCATATGATCAATTAAATAAAATAATTGCTTCAAGGTAATTAATAGTTTAATTCATACAAATATTATACATAAGTTTTGATAATTTTAATAATATTAGATAATTTTTTAAGCTTCAAATTAATTTTCAAGGCTTACTATTAGTCACATAACTACACAATTGAATATAATTTTAAGCTAAAAATTTTATACTTATTAAATAAAATGATATAATAAATTACTATTGGATTTAAAGTAGCAAAAATTTTAATATAGCAATAAATTATGTAATCTGAAATGCTCAGGCATAGAATTAATGGTCAATTTATGTTTCAGGTTATTAAATTATTTTAAGAATTTTTATTAGAGTAATAAAATATTTAAAAATTATTTATTTGATTGGTTTTATGGATAAATTATGAATAGATGTAATGTTGAAAAATTTAAGCTTTTTTATTTAAGCTAACTTTTAGTTTACTAGTATTTAATTATTCAAAAATTATTTTGCAATTTGTAAGAAATTATTAAAAATAATTAACATAGGGCTATAAATATTTATGCAATTTAATTGATTAGAAATAAATAAAAATTTCTATATAAATCTATAATAGAAATATTGTAGCAAAAAACAAGTATCTTAAATAAATATCTTTAATTAATTGCAAGTATTTTGTATAATTAATTAACCATTTGTACGTGATTGTTAATGATTGATGATTGAATGTGATAAGTATTGAATAAAATATAAAATTTTAAAGTAAATTAAAATTATTATTTCAGAGATCATATTTATTACTTTGCCACCAAAAATAATTTTTCATATTTCATTATTTATGAATTACGATCAAAAAGTTTGCTTAATATAATTCTCTATGATACGTAATGTTTACAATAGAAAGTGGAGAGAGAGAGAGAGACAGAGAGAGACAGAGAGAGAGAGTAAAAATGTTATGAAATTATTTGGACTGCACTTTTAGTACCAATTATCTATTTATTTGTTTTTTGAAATCATATTAAATATTTTAATTGATATATCATATGAGAACAGGATTTATATGATTCCAAATGTCTCATTGATTAGACTGTTATATTATTATTATTATTATTATTATTATTAAATAACAATACTTTTTCTTATATTTATCATTTATTGTGTTTTAATATTTATAATAGTGAAATATCAAATATTTACTTGGGACATTAGATTATTTAATCAATAAATTTTCAGTAAAATTGTTATTAAATACATTTGTACACCGGTACATTTTATTTCTAGGACAAAAAGCATTTCAATCCGATACAATACATTATTAATAATTGTAATTATCTAGCAATTTAAAACTTGTAAACTGATCAAAGTAATAAAGTTTGTTATGGACTTGAAAGACGCAAATATGTCCCAATTATCTAATTATGTAATTAGTGAACATCTAGCACAATTCACACACTCGAGCCACATATCACTGTATTACTGTCCACTGATTTACTGATAGCGCATTTCAAATTGTATATAAAAATACTGCGAAACGACTCTTGACTTAATAGTTATAATTATAATACAATCGTATTATTAGTATAATTACAAACGCATAGAAATAATGCAAAAACAAATACTAGTCGTCATTAGTATCATCGGTTTGGTTGTCGGCCGTGACATTAACAACGCCGGACTGTCACTCATCAAGGAAATGGAGGGGGACTGGAGAGCCGACTACTATTACGACGAAATCGTACGATTGTTACAATATTATTTTTTACTTATGTAGTTATGTAGTTAATTTTGTTACTGTTTTTTGTAGGGTCAAAAAACAATTGGCTATGGACATTGCTGCGTCTACCACACGTGCGATCAGCTGCACCCACCCCTAACTGAGGCTCAGGTTACACAGCTCTTGAGAACTGATCTGGCTGAGTTCCAGAATTGTGTCCAAAATGCCGCCCCTGGACTTAATGACAACCAGTTTGCTGCCGTAAGTACTCTAATACTCAAATTAACTAAAATATTTTCAATAAATGGAAAGGTAGATTTATGTAATCCATGTAGACATATGATCCATACAAGATACTACTCAAAATCACAATAATGTTACATATTTAAGCTAGTTAAATAGTTTTTAATATGAATTTAAAAGTTAAAAGCAATTTCAGACATACCTATTATATATTACTATAGTATTACTGTTACTATACTATTACTAGTAAAGCATGCAATACAATAAGTGAAACTAATACGTGTTATGCAACTTTGCATTTGGCTACCAGTGCACGTCATTTGCCTTTGACATGGGCTGCGGTACGTTCAATGGGTCGCACGTGTTGTCCAACATTAAGGCCAAGAATTTCAACGCCGCCGCCAAAGCCTTCAATGAGTACGTCTCGGTGGGCGGCCGTGTGATCGCCGATCTCGTCAAACGTAGGAAACGCGAGGCACAGCTGTTCCGATCGTAGATACCTGTCCACCACCAGTGTCTCAGACGTATAAATGACCTGTGCAAATTAATTTTTGTGTAATTGCTAAATAAAATAAAAATTAGTTTATAAATTGTGTTTGAATTTAGTTTTTATGTGTGTTTTAGTGTATGAGATATGAAAATGTGATTTTCAATGCCTTTTGCTATTAAAATGGTATTATTGATTAGTCTAGAGCACTTGTGTTTTATTTTATTTTTTGATGTACGCAAGCACATATTGAATATGGCTTAGAGAGAGAGAGAGAGAGAGAAAGAATCACTCGACATTTGGATTCAATGAATATGTGACCTAAACCTATGATGGCCTTCATTGGGCTGACAATCCTGTCGTAGAGTCCATTCATTGGCTGCTTATGTCTGAACAGATTGTGGTCATCGACACCACATATTTAGGTTTTGGACTGCAATTAGTTTTTGTTGTGAAATATTGTAAATAAAATCTATTTCTATTGGATATTTGTATTTTGAATAAAACGTTTTATTTGTATTAAAATTTGTATTAATAATCAACACATTAGTTTTTTATTGAATTTATTTCCCAATGAAAGTAATGTAAATATTTAAGATTATATCAACACCAAAAATATTTAAAGTTATGGAAAACTTAAAACACTAATCAACATAAGTTGTTAATTATTGATAACATATTTTAAATATAAAATGAAATCATTGATAATTTATCTCGTTTTATACAACAGTGCAAACAAACCCAATAAACGCAAAATTACTAAATGAGCTGAAAATGAGAAATGTGAGAAAAATCAGTTATGATAAACTACATGATGAATAACTGTAAGACAAACCTAAGAGCCAACACATATTAGTCCATAATATGCCGTCATTTAAGTGAAACTGATCCAAAACGAGACTCATTTGCGAGTCATTACATCTGCCGAAACCATAGCATATAATAAGCAGCGAATAAAACACTAATTTAACAAACGATATATAACTCAACCCTTTGACCACAACATTCTGAGTGGACAGTCGTACGGGAAAGCCTCCCAAAAGAAAGAGTAGGAGTAATAGGGCGACCCCTATACCTGTACCCTGTACTAGTAGAAGCCAACTGAAAATTATTGGCGAATAGTATTCCGACTAAATTTCCCAAACTATTGGCAATAAGCACTCCACAGGTTTATGAAAAAATGTATATTAAATATAAATTAATGACTAAACAAATAATACACTGCTTTTGTACCAAACTAATAGAAAATACGAGTAACGAAATGCTTGAGACAACTGTCCGGTACTGAAGTATACAATGGATGCTGAGGTGACCGTTAGAGCTATAGAGACGGGAATTTCGATACAACTTTTGCTCCAATAGTAAGAACTCGTTGAATACCACCGGTTGTGGTGTTCGCTGAGAAATACACGGACTTCCGATGGGAACACCAGTATAGTAAAGGCTTTGGACACAAACCCGAGACACGTGACCGTAAAGAATAAGAGTTTTACGTTTTCAATGACATCCGACTCGTCGCTCATGATTTTGATGGTCTCCTCGAGTGATGTGGTCTTAGACATGGATTTGTTGATTAGACCCAAATCAAGACACCCGTCCTCTCTGACACTGTGTTTGCCGTATAAATAACTCAAACAAAATGCTATAAACAAACTAAATAGGACCAGGCCTAAATTAGCAATCCAATTATACCGTATCTGTATATTAATAGAGAACATGAATGAAACAAATTGAACACAATTGTAGTCTATATTGCATACAAAACATGTTAATCCGCGTAATATTAAATATTTGAGTTGATTTTGATAGGAGTTGTAGTATAGATTGTAATTAGTTATTGTGCTTGAAACCAATTTGCCACCCTGTTCACTATAATCCCGCAAACCAATTGACTGATTTTTGGTGGTAGCCATTAGTTTGTTCATATTATCGCTGTATTTATCAATATTTGATGATATTTTCAACAAGAGTTCAATCGGGAGGACATCTTCAGCGCAAGTAATGCTACAACTGAGGAGATGTCCTCTTAGGAGGTTTGGGGGACCCGTGAAGACACAGTGACCTCCTTTTGAGAGGACATACAACTCATCAAACATTGACAGCAGGAGTGAGTTTGGCTGATGTATTGACGTCACGATTGCCATCCGATATCTCTTTGATAGTTGTTTCAGACATTTAATAACCTATTGTTTCAAACATTAATTTGTTTATTATAACATATAAATAATTTTATTGAAAAAATATTCACCAATTCCGAGGCATTGCTGTCGAGACCACTGGTGGGCTCATCGATACACAAGAGGTTTGGCTTCATTTGCTGAACCAATTCGAGTCCGACGGACAGCCGCTTCTGTTCGCCACCGCTGCACGTCCAAACACTATTGTCGGCGCAGTCCTCCAGAAGCAGTTCACACAATATCTTTCGGACATTCAAGTTGTGGTCAAAGTGTCCGTTATTATCGACGGCATCGAAATCATCGCTATAATAACCGTCCATTAGATATTCAAGTGCAACGTTTGACTCAACACTTTGACGAGAATAAGCCTTTTCTAATGATAGAGATGTTTGGCAGAAATTATCTCTATATTTGTTTCTATCAATTGCTTTATGTTTAATTTTTGACGCAAATAATAGAGATTCTCTAGAAATTTAATACAATGAATGCAATGAATATATTTAACATTATTTTAGATAATATACTAATCAATAGGTCATACTTTACTGTTAATCCCTTCAAAAGGTGTTAATCGGACGATTGCATTATGAAACAAGTCCTCAAATTCGCGTATTTGTTGACAAATATTTGTGTATCGCTTGTGAGTCCAGAATTTGATCGCATATTAATGCACTTCAAAAGAGTGGTCTTTCCGGCACCGGACGGACCCATGAGTGCCGTCAGTGTATGGAAATTGATTCGTCCGGAAAGGGACACCAGAATTG